GACGAAACCTGTCGGAGGAGGACTTTGCGCTAATTCTGGAAATGTGCAAACACTAGACTCAGGCGCCTTTCTCTAATACGATATGTCTGAATATATGTCCCTCCACACTAAGAATGGCTGGACAGATCAGTGGTTGAGGTCTCTATGGCTGTGAAGCCTGAAGTTGGGGGTTCGAATCCCCCCCGGGGCCTCCTTAAAAGGGGCTGGACTGGATGACCCAGAAGGTCCCTTCCAGCTCTGCAGTTTTAAGATGATGATGATGAAATCAGAAGAAGGGTACAAAGTGTGTGGACAGAAAAGAATTGCTAAGCCACCCTTCCTCGTACGTGGACACCGCCGCTCGCACACGGACACCCTCCCGCCCCTCTCCAAGGCTGGCAATCCCCACATGGAGAGAACTTTTTTTCTATGTTGCCTCCCTCTTCTCTCTCCCCATGACTCCAGAAACTTCAATAACCAGCATTTGGAAAGAAAATAGATTTTTCCCCATTGATGACTAAGGCAGACGGATAAATCTATATGATTTCCTTCTTGACCACGCCATCATGAAATGACTTCAAAACAAACAAATAAATAAAACCCAAACACCCACTAATTTACAGCTGCCTTGAAATCGCTTCAGACTCCAGCGCCCGCCATAAAACTGTGGGTGTTTTTCGATCGTAGCGAAGTAGCAGAGAGGAAAGGAATAATAACATTATTCTCCCCCCCCCAACGCTTGCTCACTCAAACGCCCACACCTCTCCCCACTCATGTCTCTTTTTCCTTCAAAATTTCAGCCTCGTCTCTCACACCTCCTGAGTAAAGAACCACTTATGTGCTGCCATTCAGGGCTTTGATCCCTGGCTGCGCAAACGGGTGACCCGCTACAGTAGGGCAAAATAAAAAGTGCCCAGGTTTATGGGCTGGATCCACCTTACCAACCAGAGGAGGTGGATGACTCCTGTTTCAAAGGTGCTGTGAATCCAGTCCAGGTTTTATTCCCTCCTAAAGGTGGTGAGCCGGTCAGAACAATAACACACTATCTTCTGCAGGCATCTTGCCAAGAATTGGGAGGGCCAAATGATTCAAAAACATGCCATTAGAGCTGAAATCACATTAATGTTCTAGAGACGTGATTCAGTAAGTCTTTCATGCCTAAGCGAACTGCGTGCTTTTTTTGTTTAGTTCTCAAAGACTGATGGCAAACACAAAGCAAGCTCATTTAATGTCATATTTATTTATTGCACCAGTCAAAGACCATGGCAAGATAAAACAGTTGCAATCCGTCAGACTGACATAAAAGAACAGTAAAACCAGCTGAAATTAGGGCGAGAGACATAATAAATATACATGGCATGTTAGGTACCTTTTAATCAGTACTTTGCATAACTTTGAATCAATACTTTACTTATGGGATAGATTGATCAGTTCCAGGTGGTATTTGACTGTATTAAGATACACTAAAATTAGTGAGTTTATTGGATAATGTTCATACTATTATGTTTTCGGGGCTCAGGACTGGGTTTAGTCCATGATCCTTTAAATTTCTTCCTGCATCTAGTTATCTTTATTGTAAATAGGGTGCCATTCTGGGTCATGTAGTGGTTTGCCCCTTGAAGCAGGAAGGTCCAGTTCATCTTAGAGAAGCTTTCTCTGATGTCAGTATACAACCGACCGTCAAGAAAATTCCATGCATTGAAGAAATGCTTATTCTGTTACCATCCGACCTTACAGAACTGTAAAGAAATATAAAACAGGCAGCTTTGCAGATCTTCTCCTCTCTTTTTCTGGCTAGGACTGCTAAAGAGTTCTGTGGCACTTAAAAGCTTGCCAATTCCTTCTCTAAAGAACATTTCTGAGCCTTGGCTGTTATCTCTTGATTGTAAGGCTGTACGAGGCTGTAGGTGGGTCTGACCCTTGTACGGTTGCTTTCCAGTACCGCCTGGCTCCCGAACCACACAGTTTGCTGCATCGCACTTATATACAACCCATAAAGACAGGGAAAAACATGGCCAACCTTACCTATACTATGTGCTATGGCAATTGTGCCCTCTGCCGGCCAAAATGTTATATGATGGACGTTTGCTCGTTTTTGGGGGGGCTTCTCTTTCCTTCATATATTTTGCTTGCTTGCTTCCTTCTTTGTCTTTGCTCCCTTATGCCCTTGTCAATTTGAGATCCTGGCCAATACAACTGAAAACCAGGGCTTCATATCATCTTCGTGGTAGGACTTCTCATTGCTTCCAAGCTTCCAGGAGGTAGACATCTCGGATTCAGTTCTGCTGAGTTTAGCGTATTTTCTGTCAGGTTTATGTTTGCTTTAGGTTCATGCCAAACCGGGTTCGGTTTGCATTAAAACAAATATTGCATGGAAATCCACACATATTTTGTGTACATGTATCTCCCAAATACATGATAGCATTCTCCCAATGATGGGTAAATTGTAGGGCAATTCGAAAGAGCTGGTTCTAATCTAGAAAGCCCTAAACGGCTTGGGTCCAAGCAATCTCAAGGACCACATCTCCCATTATGAAACCCCTTGGGTGTTAAGATCATTAGGGGAGGCCTTTCTCTCAGTCCCACCACCTTCGCGGGTGCATCAGATGGGGACCCAGGAGAGGGCCTTCTCTGTGGCTGTTCCTGGACTCTGGAACTCCCTCCCACTGGAGGGCAGGCTGCCTCCACCTTTGCTGTCTGCAAGCAGCTCAAAGACCTTTTTCACCCGGCAAGCTTTCTCTTAACAATTGGCTGTCTGAGTGGGGTTTGTTTGTGCCTCACTGCTTTGAATGAGTCTTTGGTATTGCTTCGATCTACCATCTTTTAAAAGTGGTATCTGTTTGATCTTTTTCAGTATTTGTATATTTACTCTTTTTAGCTTTAAATATTGTCTTTTTAATGATGTAAGCTGCCGTGGGTCCTTCTTTGCAAGAAAGTAGAATAACAATTTTTAAAACTTAAACTCAACTCAAATCAATAAGATGTGTTTCATTTCTGGGAGGTAGACATCTCGGATTCAGTTCTGCTGAGTTTAGCATATTTTGTGTCAGGTTTATGTTTGCTTTAGGTTTATGCCAAACCGAGTTCAGTTTGCATTAAAACAAATACTGCATGGAAATTCACACATATTTTGTGTACATGTATCTCCCAAATACATGTTAGCATTCTCCCAATGATGGATAAATTGTAGGACAATTCAAAAGTGCTGGTTCTAATCTAGAAAGCCCTTAACGGCTTGGGTCCAAGCGATCTCAAGGACCGCATCTCCCATTATGAAACCCCTTGGGTGTTAAGATCATTAGGGGAGGCCTTTCTCTCAGCCCCACCACCTTCGTGGGTGCATCAGATGGGGACCCAGGAGAGGGCCTTCTCTGTGGCTGTTCCTGGACTCTGGAACTCCCTCCCACTGGATTATACCAGACAGCACATCATTGGAAACGGAGTTTCCTTAAATGCTGAAAGCAACGCTTTAACTTTCACTCATCTTCATATCTTGCATTCCAGGAAGCCTTCTTTTGTGATTGGCCAGTAAGAAGAGAACGTGTGCAAGCCGAATTACCCAGTCTCAGATCTCTGAAGAAAATGAATTGCAAGAAGGCATTGGGGGGGGGAAGACCTACGGGGAAATTACACACAGTTTCCTCTTGCATTCACTTTGACCATTGGGCGTTCCTTTTTTCTAGGTGATGAAGAGGATGATGAAGACGGGCGTGAGGAACGGCTTCCTTCCTGCTTTGACTACGTCATGCACTTCCTGACGGTCTTCTGGAAAGTCCTGTTCGCCTGCGTGCCGCCTACCGAGTACTGGAACGGCTGGGCCTGCTTCACTGTCAGCATCATGGTGATCGGCATCTTGACGGCCCTCATCGGGGACCTGGCCTCCCATTTCGGCTGCACTGTGGGCCTCAAGGACTCCGTCAACGCCGTGGTGTTTGTCGCCCTCGGCACATCCATTCCAGGTATTTTCAGAGAGAAGGGACAGGCATGGACCAGACCCTTAGCATGTCATTGGAAGCCGAGCTGCCTGCAGAGGGCAAAAAAAAAGAGTCTGTTTATCCTCTCCAACACAAGCCTGAACATCTGTTACAAATCAACTTATTTTTGCTTTATGGTTGGTCATTGGGGGCAAACACAGGCTTCGTTTGCATGTCTGATTTCTCAGGCATGGAGTTTTAAAGACCCTACATGCTTAAAGGGAATATATTGCAATAGCAGGAAACAAGTAATTCCTTCAGTCTGATTTTTGGCCCTATGAATTAAGGATACTTTTCAAGAGTAGTTGGTTACTCCTACCATGTCTCTCCAAAAATAAGACAGGTTCTTATATTAATTTTTGCTCCGAAAAACACATTACGGCTTATTTTCAGGGGGTGTTTTTTTTTTCATGTACAACAATCTATGTTTATTCACATACAGTCATGTCATCATCTGGTTGCTGCACAAGGGTGGAAGGTGGGGTTTGATTTAACTAGGGCTTATTTTGGGGGTACGGCTTATATAGTAGCTTCCTACCTTCCTACAAAGGTTATGCCTTGATTGTTGAAAAAAAATTATTGATCATTTGTAATTAATTTATTTTATTAGAATTTGTAAGGAGCTACTACCATTTGCCTTAACCTCACAAGCATTCACAAGAATAATGTTTTGGTCCAAATTATTCACAAATCATTATTTCCACCTTACAAAATTGCATAATCCACACAAGTCGGCAAGTGGAGATTTTTTCTTCCTGCAAACTAGGACGACTGCAGCTTTATTTAAGAATTTGAAGCCCTTGATGGGTTGATCCCATCTTTCCTACCAATCAGCCAAGCCTGCTGTGCTTGCTTTCTCTCTGTGTGTGCATTTTGCTTCTCAAACGGGAAAGACGTGAATGACATTTCACACAAAATATGGAGACAGAAGAGAGCTCTTTCCCTCAGTCTTGGCAATGTATGGGTTGCCTCCTTCCTGGGGGGCTTTAGCTTCCCACATGGTGGTGCCCCACAAGAACAAGACGGCCCAAACTGAAGAGGATGGGAAGGAGAACGTTAGAGAGCCTGTCTTCCAGGCCCAGATAAAAAGGAAGATGGGACTCCTACGCCTTTCACAGAGATGTGAAAGAAGGAATTCCTGCGAGGTGTACCCTGTAGTGGATGAAATTCCTTTTTCCTCACAACGGTCAAAGGCGCAGAAGTCCTGCCCCCCCTGAACATTGGCCTTTGCTGAGATTTGTCAGCTGCCCCATCTGGCTTCTCTTCATCGCTCTCTTCTTCCCGCAGATACCTTCGCTAGCAAAGTGGCCGCCCTCCAGGATCAGTGCGCTGACGCGTCCATCGGCAACGTGACCGGCAGCAACGCCGTCAACGTCTTCCTGGGCCTGGGGGTGGCCTGGTCGGTGGCCGCCATCTACTGGGCCTTCCAAGGCAAAAACTTTGAGGTGCAGAAGGGCACCTTGGCCTTCTCCGTCACCCTCTTCACCATCTTCGCCTTCGTGAGCATCAGCGTCCTCATGTACCGTCGCCGGCCACACATAGGGGGAGAGCTGGGGGGGCCCCGAACCGCCAAAATCCTCACCACGGCCCTCTTCATGGGCCTCTGGTTCCTGTACATTCTCTTCGCCAGCCTGGAAGCCTACTGCCACATCAAGGGCTTCTGAGGGTCCACGAGGCCCATGTCGGCAACCTCGGAGAGATACCTGAGCGCCAGAAGGCGCCTTCCACCAAGAGACTCAGGCACTTGGGGGTCCTCTTCTTGCACCATTCTGAGCATTTCTCCCCCTCACTTGTAAAAACTCCATGCGGGGCGAGGGGTTTCCTCTTGCCTCACAAACAGGCGCAAGACGCCTCTCTTGTTTCTGCTCACCAACCTTCTGAGCCTCTCCCAATGGTCTCCGTCTGTCCCCAGTGACCTTGTGCTCCAAGCTCTCCTTTCTCACCCCCAACATTAGTGAGTGGGCGCTGCGTCTTTGTTTTGGGGTCTCCCTCGTGCACAGCGTTTCTGTGTGCAAGCCAAGAGGGACGGCGCTCCGTGCGTGTGCATGTCTGTGCTGTTCTAACATCCCAGTGTTGCTCACCCTCACCAAAGGACCCCATAAGCTGTTGACTGTGGACCCCACCAAGGCTCCTCTGTGGTTCTCCGGTCCTTCTGTACCTAGAACGACAGAATCTGAAGGAAGGATGATGTCTCCTTCCTCAAACATTTATTCAGAAACTGTCGCCTGCTCTCGTCTTGAGTTGGGTTGGGTGGGGGAGCCTGACGGAAAGAGAACAAGGCTTCTGGACAGGTGTACGTTTACATAAGCAGAGTTGTGACAGAGCTTCGCCATTGGAATCTCTCTCTTTTACAATTTGACTTTTTCAATCGTTTTCTTGTGGTTTTACAAAAAATAGCAACCTTGGGCTGTGTTGGGACACACCCTGTTAAAGCCATGGAGAAAACCGATGGGCTTCTCGTGGACAGCGTCAGTGGAGGAAAAAACAAAAAGGACTTCAAACCATCCTCTGCGATTTTGACGCTGAGCGATTGGGTGGGAGGTTTTTGGGGTTTTTCTTTTCTTTTCAGGGTGTGTGTGTGTGAAGTTGTGCGTCTAAGAAGCGGCTTTCGTTCACCCCTTTCAATGTGCTGCTAACTCCTGCTTTGATCTCCGTAACAAAGGTGTTCACATGAATCGTCCTGACCCTTTTCCACGAAGAGAACGCCCCACCTCTTTTTGATTCCCCAAGCATTAATCCAATATAAATGGCTCAAGATGCTGGGGTAACCTTTTAAAAAGCCAACTCATTTGTTATTGTGATTGGATGGCACGCTATACATGTATGAAAGGCCAGATACTGCAAAAGTTACTTTTTTAAAAATTACAATCTCAAAATTTCCAACCTAGTAATTTCCCTAGGTTCTGTAATATTTATCACACATAGGATGACAGACTTATTTATAAAGCTCCCATACTGTCATTGTCCCGGGGACGTGGGCATTTCCACCTGATCCACCCTACTGCAGTGGGATGTGAGAATCCCACGCCGTGGCTGTGGGAAGCCCCATATGATTCAGCAAGCCCTTATATTCCCACGCGATTCTCTCTGTGCAGCATGAGATCTGCTAATCAGGAGAAGGAAATGTTATTGCACCCAAAATATAAGAATTGAGTTTAATCATTTCCTGAAAGAAACCGTCCTTTTAGAATAACATGCAATTGACCTGTTTTCATAGACACAAAATGAAGGGCAGGAAGGCTACTGTTCGGAGCGAATAGCGTTTACATTTGGCCAGCTGATTCTCTTGGTCAAACATCCCTCTAAAGACATCTGAATTCCTCTCCATAGAACAAACCCTTCTATACCCATGTGAAGACCGACGGTTGTGACTTTTCCCCTCTTAGTAGACATTTTTCTCCAGGTTCGCAGTTCTACATCCCAAAGTGAGACGGGAGAATCTGAAGATCAGCCTTGGGATATTTGGGATATTTCTCTAGCAACATGTTGGGATATTTCTCTAGCAACAAGAACAGGGGGAGCAGCCATCTTGAAATTGGCAATACGATCTCCAGTCATGTTGGGCCTTGAGGGGGAAATGGTTAGACCAAGTCTTTATACCAAGGAATGTCCGTGCAGGGACTGGTGATGTTGTGAAGCCAGAAGCTGTGGGTTCCGTAGGAAGCGATAGGACTAGGAACCGAATTTAAGGCATACCTGGAGATTTCTAAGAGGTATGCCCCAACTAGCAGATAAGCAACCCAGAAGCTGTTCCAAACTCTGATATATGAACCACGCTTCTCTCTATGGATGATGAAGATTAAAAAAGTGTATCTCCATGCGTTCCCATGCGTTCTGGAATCATGGCACAAACTGGGACCTGGAATCAGAAACAAATCTTCCTAGGAAGCCATATCTTCGCAAGGCAATTATGGAAATAGGGCCATAACATTTACTTTGCTGTAGCTGAGCCCACGTGTGGCACCAGGTGGGCTATTTTGGCAGTAGCATCCACCACCGCTGAAACTGAAATATAACTCTGGGTGGCCGGAGTTTCCAATGACAGTGTCTGAGTGCGTAGTTTTCCAGAGAAGCAAAGATAGACTCAGAACTTCCTGTTTCCCAGACCCATCTTCTGCATAAATGTTATGAACAGGGCTTCTGTTAGGGTGCTGAGCACTACGCCTCTCTTCTTGCATCCAAGGGTACCAGAAATCTCTGGGCATCTGGTGAAGTGCTCTACGGGAGCAAGGTAGGACCTGAAGACGAGCTAGAAGAATGAGGAAGCAGAGATACCAATGGCTGTCTGGGCCCATAGTTATGGGTCATGGAGGCAGCCCTCCTTAACCAGAGGAGATGGACCATTTTTCAAACTGGACATGGTTCTAAAAGAAGCTGGCAGAGTGCATGGAGGCATGACCTCAACCAGAGGAGATGGACCACTTTTCAAACTGGACATGGTTCTAAAAGAAGACCAAAAGTGGTCCTCACAGAGCTTGGAAATAATGTGTTAGCATCCAAATCCTTACGTTAAACTGGTAATGATGTGCAAATTGGCACCTAGAGTCTCAAATATTTTCCAAAATGTTGTTTTTTCAAAAAGACAAGGCACATCCATTAGATGCAGGACCCATTTTTTAAACATTCACATGCTATTCCTGCGCTGTCATGCAGCGACAAATCGATCTGGTGTGGAAAAGAATCTTACCGAACAAACCGTCACAACGAGGCGAAGACGGCTTGATGTGGTTTTACGACCGGGATTTAGTAGCCCATTCATAGGAAACTCTTATTTGTGTTTGGTTTGCCAACGTCCTACTTCAGAAATATTGGCTGTGGAAAGACAGAGGAGGAATCCTGCCTGTTGCAGATGGGAGTCCAAAGTAAGGGTAAAGAGTAAACCTCTTAATAGCTTAATTTCTCTTATGGACATCTCTGATCAGGCTCGTACAACCCCACTCCATTGATTCCAACAAGCAACTCTATATGACCCTAGAGACAAGCCAGTGTGGGCTGGAGGAAGCTGGTTGATTGGGGTGGAGAACCTTGTTTACAGTAGAGTCTGCCATGCCCTTCTCACAAGACTGGTTACTAAATACAGCACAGGATCAACTGAGTCAAGCAGAGAAACTAACAGTGGACATAGTTTTTTAGTGGATTGCTTAGGAAAAAAAGAACACAGAGAAAAGTTCCCTGCCTGCAAGGAACTTCCAATTTAAATGTCAAGAGTGGGGCGAAGAAGGGGAAGAGGAAGGACAGAGGAGAGAGAGGGAAGCCTATAAGATCTCCTTGTCGATTCTTCTTTCCCTTGCTTGTTTACGCATCGGGATGAGGCAGGATGGGATGGAGAGACAGTGTAGTTGAGGGAACAATCCACCCCAACTTTCAGGAATAGAAATAGGAGCTTCCTTATAAGTTTGGCAAAGTTCTGGGACTCCAATTCCCAGAATCCTCCCAGCTGGCATGGGCAGGCCAGTCAGGTGTATTATGGGGGATGGAGTTCCAACCGTTATGCTTTCTCCCTCAGCTGTGCTGCTTTGAGCGGCTGGCGAATGGTCTCCTGCCCTGGCAAAATGGTGTGAACCAAGAAGGCTTCAGCGTTGACCCAGGAGCTGAGAAAAGCTGCAGGTAGCCGCCTGATTCTCCTATCTGTGAGGAAATGAATGGCTCTGGGACATTCAAAGAAGCTGCAAGAGGAATTATTGGCTGTTCTCCATTTATTCTCCTTTGTAGAACAATCGGCCGGGACAAATATCCCATTGGTTAAACAGTAGAGCCAACGTCATGAAAACCCAAATAGTCACTGCAGGCTTTTCTACAATTCGAGGCAAATACAGTGAATGCTTACGTGGCCAAATCTTAGAACGTGGTTCCCCTCTTAAGAGACCCTACTCTTAACCTTTCCAAGGAATTGAGCAGAACTGCATGAAAACAATCAAGGGGTGTAAAAGCTCATCGTCCCACGCTCTGGAGCACATATATGCATATATTTTTAAAGAACATTTTTCCCAAATTCCCAGCTGGCTATCTTCAGAAACACAAAACATGGGAACAATTTTCTAACACATAATGGAAATCGGGTGGGCTGGCTGGCTGGGGACATATAAAGCACTCCCGGGATTGTAGCTGAATCCGACCTTTTTAAAAGAAGGTTTTCTTAACGCTTCCTCCTTTTCCAGACTCAAAGACTTTGTAGCTTTTTTTCTGCTTAGCAGGGGAGGAGCCAAAAAAGGAAATGAAAAAAGGAAAAAAAATCTTTATCTACTTGATTCCTCTTTTCTTTTTCTCCTCCAATTTTCTGACGTCTCCTAACTTTTTCCCTTTTTTAGAAGAAATTCTTGATTGTGCTCTCTCTCTCTCTCTGTCTGTCTCTCTCTTTCTGTACAAGTTGCCATGCGATAGTGAATTTTGCCTGTTCCTTCCTTTCGCAGATAAACAGCAACAAACTGACTTGTCCAGATAAGTTTGCATGATGCCTTCGGGGTGGTGGGTGGTGGGACACAATGAATATGTTTTATTTTGAAAAGGGGACAAAGTATTTCCAAAACTCAACAAGTGTGATTATTTTCAAGCCAAACGTCTCTTTGATTTTTTAGTGGCAAGGATGGGGTGGGTGTTCAACCTCTTTGGGGAGCATCCTATGGAATACATCATTAGACTCAAGCTAGAGGGAGCCAGATTTCTGCTGAAGATCAGAAAAAACTTCTTAACTGTTAGAGCAGTACGACAATGAAACCATTTGTCTCCAAAGGTGGTGAGTGCTCCAGTGGCATTCAAGAGAAAGTTGGTCAACCCTGTGTCAGATCTGCTTTGACTTCGATTCCTACCTTGAGCAGGGGGTTGGACTCGATGACCTTAAAGGCCCTTTCCAACTCCATTATCCTAGGATTCTATGAATATTTGCGCCAGAAACTTGCACATGGGAGTTTATGGATATTGAATAATATATATTTCAAATAGGCAGATCCTTACAATTTAGTGTGTGGCAACAAAGACATCAACAGTTAAGAGGTCAAATGGGGAGCTTGCTTGTGTGTGTTTAGTCGTTTAGTCGTGTCCGACTCTTCGTGACCCCATGGACCAGAGCACGCCAGGCCCTCCTGTCTTCTACTGCCTCCCGGAGTTGTGTCAGGTTCATGTTGGTTGCTTCGCAGACACTGTCCAGCCATCTCATCCTCGGTCGTCCCCTTCTCCTCTTGCCATCACACTTTCCCAACATCAGGGTCTTTTCCAGGGAGTCTTTTCTTCTCATTAGATGGCCAAAGTACTGGAGCCTCAGCTTCAGGATCTGTCCTTCCAGTGAGCACTCAGGGTTGATTTCCTTTAGAACTGATAGGTTTGTTCTCCTTGCAGTCCAGGGGACTCTCAAGAGCCTCCTCCAGCACCACAATTCTGAAGACTGGGATACA